ATTCCAGACAACGTGCCACGAGACAAACCGCTAACTTGGCTCATCAGGGATTTGTGGGAGGAACGACAGCCGCGAGGTGAGACCATGGTACGACGCGCATTCTTGTTCCAGTCTCGACGCTGGCGTACATACCGCGAATCTGCGTTGGCGTCCATTTCGATGCAGGGCACGTCGGAACCGGAACCTGCACTCAGCCACGCCACAACATTGAAGCCGCGCAGCCAGCTGTGGCGGTGGTTTGGGAGGATTGTGGGGGACCACATGGCAGCCATGCTTTCGCCGGTCAACTGTTATGAGGGCCACCACTTGTTGGGTTGTGTGGGAGTCCGGAGCAGTCAAGTTATTTGTATCTTCTTGACGGAAGCTGTGCCGTTAGCCAGTCGGGCATCTTCATTGCACACACCAGTCTATTCCGGCTCCAATGTTTCTCATCCACCCAACGCCTTGCCGCACCCCGGATGAGCTGTTGCGTGGGAGGCGCCTGGACGACTGGAACCTTTGCCTTCCGCCGCCATAAAGTAAATCACTTTGAACGGTTTTATTAATTAAATACTGCGTCTATAGCGCCTACGTGTTGGGTCAACGAGCAGACAAATCATATTCGTCAATACTACCCCGTCCACGATCCGGAAATCCCCACTCCGATGGGTGGCCTCAAGCTGGCATCTCACTCGGCCCATTTATATTTTCTATCCCGCCACAACGAACGGAAGATGCCCGTCCACTGCCAACCAGACGCTTTCGGTCAATCAGGCTCCTTACCATCGCCTTGGGTCTACAGGGGAAGGAGGGGCCCTGTGGACGAGCATCTTATTGCTCTCCCTTCATGAGGGGCGCCAGACGATGCCCGGCGAACTATGCACCTCTCAAGGGCGACCAAAGCTAAATTGCAACATCTCATCAATCCGTCGACCCGTACCAAATGATACAGTGTAGGTATTATGATGATAAGAATTAGGGCGACGTTTGTATGGAGCTATTTACATCGACAAGCTTGATTTGGGTCGTACTTGGACGTTACTGATGCTGTGGATTCTCAAATTTGCAAACAAGCTATATACAAACCATCAAACTTACAACCAAGGTCGGCATTATCGAATGAATGGCGAGAACCGTGTCGCCGCAGGGGGCGCATGTACATATGTATATCCTGCCACAGCCGCCCAAAATGGTTTCAAACGGCGATTGCCGAAGCCCAGGCAGGGTTTGTCCGTGTATAGCTTCGCAATCCTGGCAAATTAGTAGACAACCCTCTCGGTCGGCCAACCACTCGGGGCAGGTAGCTGGTACGGTACTCTGTGGTCGTCCTGCAAACAGTAACGAATGGTTCGGAAACGCTCATGGCTTACGGAGTACGGAGTACATGGAGGGCTAGCGGTGGGATGCGACATTGGGAATGGAATTGGCATTACGGAGCGCAATGCACAATTTGTAGGTGCCCCATCCATGCCTGTTGACTGATCTGACAGGCATGAACTCGTAGATGAAGAGCAAGGGGCAATGGACCCATGATGCCATCTAACCGACTGATCATCTAGAACTTCTAGAATGCGTCCCACCAAACCAGCATTGCCGCTTGGACTGGATGCGACTGGCGCGCGCGCGCGTTTGACAAGGAAGTAGTATGATTTCATGCGAAACTGGTTTCTCCCCTCGGTGGCCCTTCTCTTATTGCAGAACCCATTATTCTGGAAACAGGGACCCTCAGAGTCCGCTTCATGAGGGCGGGCTGCGGCCCCGCTGTCCTTGATGCTATAGGCGGCGAGTGTTTTGAGAAAGGCCTGAATGATTTGGTGACTGGGACCGGGCAGGATATGGTTAAGCATTCTCTAGTGCTATAGCGACCAGAAGTAACATGAGACGAGGCTTCGCCTCTTCTACATGACACCCCGAACCCAGTATATTTTGTTGACGGCCTATACGGGCTGCGGCTAGCACTCTACCCGCAAGCGTCTATTACTACAGCTCTTCGTCTTGAATCTCTCAAACGCTCAGCGCCTCGCTTGCACGGTGCCGCCGCCATTGCGCCTAGCTTTGAATGCCACGCGACGGCCCCTGGTCTCTCTGTGTCACTAGCTCCGGCTCAAGTCAGCGCGGAGCCGCCTGATTTAGTTGCGCCAGCGTCTTCATGCCTCCATGCCTCTACATACAGTGGTCAAGTGGTGCACAAACCTCGCGACCAGCCCACCCCTCGAATCTGAGAAATCAGTGATAGACACACGTTAACAAGGCACTAAAACGACTGGACGAGGTACGTACTCTGTTTTAAGGTTAACACAGCTCGCGGCCACTTAAAGGAGGGGTCCTCCTGATACTCTTGGCTGTGACGTCCACGGTATAACGTGGGACCGACTATTAACAGTCAAAACGTAGCCCCTTTGGCGTGCCACCTGCCTGTAACCATGGTGAGGTTTGGCAACGGAGGCGGACGAAGCCAGGCCACGGCACACGTGGTCGGCATTCTACACACAAGTTGCTCAAAATAGCTGGCGTCAACATGAGCTTAGCTCGCTTAACAGGCCAAACCACCAGCATTCCGTACATAGCTACTGGCGGCCCGGGTAGCGTTGTTTGAGAGGCTTTGGAGGCTTCGGAGGGATCGGAAGCACAGACGATCGGCCTCTTTACCATTCCGCAGTGCGAGATTTACGCTGAACTGCCGCCATCGAAATGGACATGCAAAACAAACGGGCCTTTTCGAATGCCTTCTCCAAGTCTCAAGAAAGCGAGCCACGACCCGCTACTCCAGCCAGTTTCATCAGAGGAGGCGGCAACGCCATTGAAGAGTAATACCCACATGTCAGGCATCATCTGCCGCTCGGAAAGGGCTCGAAAGAAAGAGATTTAAAAAAAAATCGAAAAGGAAAAGAACAAGACTATTTCGTTTGGGTTTTGGCTAAGACGTTAGCCTAAATTGTAGGGCTCCCGCGCAAGCCGGTACATGCCAGTCGACGTTACATGATGAGCGAGAAGATCGGTTGCGAAGCCATCATTCTTGTAGGGACGAGGGGGTCTGGGAGGGGAGGCGATTTGCACCATGACCTGGTTCATCGATTAGCTATCCCGCTGTCACTCCGACAGGGCCGGGGAAATGCAAGGCAAATCACGAACGGCGATGGAAGACAAATGGAAGCGGCAGATGGCCTGGCAGATGGACGCGCCACCTACGGTCTACAGTCTGCGGTCTGCGGTCTGCGGAGTAGTACAGCAGCTTCAGCCACACCAGGGCCACCAAGGAGCGATACTACCAGGCCAGTGGCGTGGTCCGCCTTGTGTACTCCAAACCTACATGGGCACCAGCGTCAATTATTGACGGCGGGCTGTTCTAGTGGCTGCTGGGCGCCAGGCACAGACTAGATGAATCTAAATGAGCTTGAGAGTGCGCGACTGGCTGGAATGGCCATATGGGCGTGTGCCTCTATCCCGCAAGGAGAGCTCCCAAGTTGAATGAATATACGCGTACGCTCATGCGGCTTAATAAGATGATTTATACAATGGGCCCATAGCCAGACGTGGCTTGGTGGACGACTGGCGATGCGGCTTTGCGTGGTCTGGTATACAAGATGGGCAAAGGCTTACATGGCCACACCAAACTTGGGCCGAAATAGAGTCACTGCCAGTCATACATCACGGTACTTTGGTTTAGCAAAGGGACCGGCTCATTTGTGTCTGTCTCTCCTTACACGTCTAATTGACTCTTGGCAACGGCGCTCAAGAAGGCTGGTCGCTGGGCAAAAGCAAGGAGGGGGAGGGGGCAGCAGGAAGTACCAGACATTTTCTCGGTATCTTGGGATGTGTTTTTTCCCCGTTTAAGCTTTGGTTTGTAAAACATGGGCACGCAATTTAATGCTGTTGGATGGAGTTCAAGGAAACGTAGCCTACGTAAGTACGGGGCCAAGGGCAGATAAGTTGGCAAGGTATCATCAAGGATACAGTTGAGTGAGATGAGGGCCCGAGGGTCCCTGGCGACGGAGATGCAGGCAAGTTGCTTGACCTGCAGGCTGGCTCTAAGTTGCAAGTGAAGAGCAGGATAAGATGAGACAAGCAAGCCAGACGTGAACAGCTCGAGCGTGAGACGATGGACTGACAGGGCCCTCGTCGACTTGGCCGAAGGTCGAGGACTGGAGGTTGCGAGAAGGTCGAAGGGCTTCTCCACGATGCTCCTAGGTGCTCCTAGGCCCCATAATCTACGACACGTACCTTGGGAGCGCTCAGCAGTGTGAGCAGACCTGACGAACGAAACCTGACGAGACCAGACCGAAGAGGGAAGCAAAAGAGAGCCCATCAGCGCCAGGTCGTCCTCCAGCCTGAAGGGATCCGCTTTTTCACATTTTCCCAGGGAGCGAGGGGGGAAGGGGGGAGGGGCGTGCCAGAGACTTGCCCCAAGTGGGGCGCTGGCATCTGCGCACCTCGAGACGGTGGGGCCGGGGTGCGTCTATCACACCACAGCTCCCCAGGAAGGTACATCTGTAGCCGGGATGTACCTTCGTACCTGTGTACCGCATGGAGGCTTCAGAGCCCCCGTCTGGTTCGGGGTTAGCGCATGCTGGCGCTGGGATCAGGGTCTCAAGCAGAGCGCAAGCCAAGTCCGCATGGAGAGGCGCCACACGTAACCGCTTTTGGGGAAATCCTCATCGTCTACAGACTTTGGGATCGCAACTGAACCTATATATCTTCCAGGGCCTGTCGCTCTCCACCGAGGGGAAAACTGACCCAAGCTCTTCATTGTGGCACCTCTCCTTATACATCTTGTCCAAACATACAAACTCCCAACGGCGCCCGCCTCTCTTTGTCTTGTTGTCTCTCTACTCGGAACAACACAAGATCATCTCACCATCTCTATACGTTTACACTCGTCTTTGCATCACTGTTGCCCACTCGACAATACAAGACGCCTTATTTCGAGGACTGCTGGCCAAAACTTGCCTCTCTGCCGGTTGACATCCCAACAACTCTATCTACAACTCAACAAGCACATCACACATCCAGCCTTCACAACCATGACGCGGTCATCATCAGCCGAGCCTGCCAAACCCTCGTCTTCCTCCAAGCGAAAGGGTAAGCCCCTCCCCTCCCCCCTCACATGGACCACGGCCGTACCCTGACACGATGTTTCCTCTTACACTAGGCACCCGAAGCGTTTCCACCTTGACGCCGTCACAGCTTGCTCGCAAGAGAGCCAACGACAGAGAAGCCCAGCGCGCTATCCGTGCCAGGACCAAGGAGCACATTGAGCGACTGGAAAGAGAACTGGAGGACCTCCGAAGCAGCCAGGGCCGCGACAAGACGGTCCAGGAACTATTGCGCCGCAACAAGGCCCTCGAGGACGAGCTATGCCAGCTCAAGGAGTCGATGGGCGTGTCCATGACGTCGTCTCCTTACTCGACCCCAACAGGTACGACCTACTCGACCTTGGTGCGTCCCCTGGACGGCCATGACAGGACTTGCCTCGCGTCACCGCCGCAACAACTGCTAACCCCGTGCCCATCAGCCTACAACGATGACAGCTGCGGCGCCATCCCCAGCCCCAGAATGTCCCCCCTCCCGTCGGGAGGAGCCGACTACATCTCCGACTACAGCCAGTCGACGCAGCAGTACGTGCCCATGCCCAACTGCGAGGCGTGGGCGTCGACGCTCCCCTCCAGCGTCCCCAGCCCCTCGTCCTCGGTCAACACGGACGAGTACGGCCCTGGCGCCGGCTACATCCCCACCAGCGTACCCAACTCCATGATGGGCACCTCGGGCGTGTGCATGGTGGACGGCAAGGAGGTCAAGATGGAGTATGAGGGCATGCACGACATGATGGGCTCCCAGAGCTACATGCAGCAGAACCCCCCGCCGCAGCAGCGCCCTCAGAGCTGGCACATGTACCCCGGCATGTACTACGAGGGTGGCCAGAACGCCGTCATCTCGCGATGATGCCGTGGTGTCGACGCAAAGTCGGCGAACAAGGCACAGCGCGGCCCGGGTCGAGTCTTGTTGAACAAGCACTCCAACCCGCTGGCGCCCCTCCCTCGACTTGTCTAGCCAACAACAGCTCAAGACTGAACCGGAATACACAGGGAGATGGGGGGGGGGCTCTTTTTTTTCTTTTTTGTCACGATGACACGACACCAGTCCATGGTTCTCCCGAGATGAAGCCTTTGAATGCCAGCCAGCCCGCCAAGCGACGAGACACGAACCGTGACGGTTGAATACGAGAGCTGTTGAATACGGCGACGATTCAAGCGTCACGGTGGGCAGTCCGGACAAGGAAATACGAAAAGATAAACGGGCAACGGCACAGGCAAGGCAGGCGACCATCTTGGACGAGACGGACGGGGCAATGATGCAATCACGGCGCTGGGGCGACAGGGCATAGACTAGAACTGGGTTCATTTGGGAAGCGAACTGCAATGTATGGTGTATACCTTTATTGATTGGGATTCTTGCGTTTACTTGCTTTTTCTTTTGCGTGCAAGCGTACGGGTACGGGATGCGCGAGTCGGTGTGTTTTTTATGTCCGGTCAATACGGACAATGTGGCGAATGGGACACGAAAACAAAAGAAAATATTTATTTACACACGGGTGGTTGCAATGTATGCTAGTACTCGCTGTCGGCTCGGTTGAATTACTACTCGCCATCACGGGGGTTTCGCGGGTTCTCGAGTGTTTTTTTTTATTTGGTTGTATATACCACGGGACAAAGTTATAGAGCGGGCGGTGACGGCAAGGGCGGCGTTGACAAAATACAAACATGGTGTTTATTGTTCATGATGGCGCAGCTGGTGTGTGCAGTGATGTCGCTCGCTGGGGGTGGCTTTGCGAGCCTGTGTGCGGTTTTGATTGTCGGCATGGCCGTATATTGTACGCCCGTGGGATGTGGTTGCGGTCAAGTTGTATTGTTGACGGCTGGGTGAATGGCATTCATTCGTTGGTTCGCGGTCCACTGGCACGGGCTGCAGTCCGGCCATGGAGTCCATCTGGTTGGATGGATGGATGGGAGCGCACTGGTCTGCACGTCGAGCGCATCTGCTGCATACCGTCTTTCTTGCGTCATCCGGCTGGTACGTACATACACGACACGACTTATACGCCCGGCGCTATCCCCGGCACGACGGCGTCTAATCCGGCCTCATCGGCAGCCTGGCAGCGTCTACGGGCGGAATCGACGACGTTTTGCTTGCTTGCTTTTTTTCGAGCTCGCCCCATGACAGCTTCCCCTTGGTTGGTTTGTCTGCGGGTTGTGTTTATTGATAGTATGTACGTGTATCGTGCTGCGTTACTACTGGCAACGAACGGCCGGCGGCCACCACCACCATCGTTGCTCGAGGGCAATGTAGCGCCTTGGCAGGCCGGCAGAAATTGACTCGTCAGGTGGCGGGATCACGGCCAAACAAGGAAAAAAAGAAATACATGTACATGCCACACAGTCTGGCAACGTGTTGGGCCATTTTCGTAGCAACCAACGGCCCGCCACTCATACGGGCCTGGTCCCTGCCTCCGGGTATTGCATCTGTTTGGTCGGGGGGGAACCCAACCAGCCCCCCCTCCCATTTGCACTTACAACGGCGCCTTCATCGCGGTGCGAGTAAACGTAGCATTTGGTCTCGCTGGCCATGGAGCGGTCTGCAGAGGGAGAAGGGTGCGTGTGCTCGGACGCTTTGCTGATTATCACACATGTTACAACTCGGAGGGAGATATGCCCGCGCGAAAGACAACCAGCCGAGGTGGTAAAAAAAACAAGGAACGTGCCGCCTCTTGAATTTCTCGTTTCCCATGATTGGCACACTGGAGACCGAGCGCGGCTGCCCTTTGCATGTAAACGCCACAACACGATGGTGCCATACTGTAGAGTATACAAACGCAGATCATACACAGAGTGTAGAGGTGCAGAGCCGTCGACGAGAGACGCCGGACCGGGCGCATCGCTGCTGCTTCTAGGCATCACCGCCGAGACTATGAGCAGAGCAGGGCGGCCTCCGGGACATTTGGACGACAGTCGTTCGCGGGCCAATCTGCAGCGATAGCCGGCGGGTGGAAACCGCTCCATCTCGGCTACCGCTCGATTGGCACTGGCTGATGCGGTGATGCACCCAAATCTGTGAAAAAGAAGCGGCCTTGTCGCCCACCCCTTCTAGAAGCCGGGCCAAGGTCAGATTATCCGGTCGCCGAGCCAGCGTGGTTCTGCGCTCCCGCACGTCCCAGATCCGACGTTGGAATCGACTTGGGTGTTTTTTTCGTCTCCATCCGGGCCTATTAAGTTTCCACTGACCGACGCCGTGTTTGATTTTCCGGCTGTGGGATGGAGTACTACCTAGGTAGTCGGAGCTGCATGCTGTTACACAACCGGACGAGGGCGGGAGAATGTTCTGCCAGGCTTCGATTCGGCCAGACAATGTCTCAGGCCATTCCATGCGCCGTGCTTCACGCGATTGGCGCGCAGGCACAAACATGTGTCAACTAAAAGTTTTGTTTTAGCCAAATGTCCCAGCGCTAACCATTGTCGAATTGGAAACAAGACGCGTTAGATGGCCTTCATACAATTGTGGCATGTACATGATGTATGTACACTTGGCAGGCCGGACAGTCGGCGCAGAGCATGGCCCCACATGTTGCAGATTGGAGAGCCCCTCGATTGGCCTACCGGTCCACAAGGGGGAAAGCACCAGAGAAGGGGGGGGGTGTGAGTCTCTGATTGGCGCAGCCTTCGATTCTGCCGGCTTGATGGACAGGCAGGAGACCCGTCTCCGCAGAGGCAGCAAGGTTGCCGCGCGATTGGTCGCGCCCGCCCCGCCGCGGCAGGCACTAGAAACACCAGAAGAAGCCGCCGAAGCCCAGGAATGCAGAGAGAGGCACAAAAACGTGGCAGGCAGGGCAGGCCAGCGTTACCAGCTTGCTGTTTCGCCCCGTCGGGACCCCACCGCGATGGCAACCATTCTGAGGGCGGTGAGTGGCGGCATGTGCCGAGTGATTGATTGATTGATTGATTGCCTGCTTGAATGATTGACAGTGGCTTCGACGCCAGCGCAGCCTGGGTCACGTCCACGACGAACAATGTTGGCATGGCACCCGTCATGTGATGCACGTCCACGGCCGTGCGCGACAGGATGCTATTGACGGTTCGTGGCTATCTTCCGCGCGGGGTCCCGGTGCTCGCCGCGTTGCGCCTGGAGCTGCGTGCTGGGTGGAAGGCGCTCCGAAGCACGCTAGAAGGCCTGTCGTGGGAGCACGGAAGGCCCCAGTGCCATCAGACATGTCGGTACACGGCCGCCAGTGCGCCTAGCAGCAAGTAGTCAATACTGCTAGTATTGCAAAGCTGCAAGGGGTAAACTCTAGCTTTCCCCCGTCCTGGCCACTTGCTGAAGCGCAGGTCAGCTCCGTCTTGCCGTGCTGCGTCCAAGTCGATTACACGCCGTTGAGCATTGGAACGCGCGACACTTTGGGCTTGCCTGCTTCTTGCGCCGGCGGAATGCCATCTCCTGGCAGCGCGGCTACGCTCTGCATTAGCAACACCGGCCCTCGCCAGCGTCGGATATACCAACTACCGGAGGGAGACCATGCAGGTCGGTGCTATGTCGGCATCGACCCGTGTTTATGCAAAGCGTTGCAAGACAGCCCGTGATGCGTACATGTATGTCCTGCGTTTGTTTGTCCGAAACAAGGGCCCTTCATGCCCGTGTTGCACCTTTCATTGTTTCCGCCATTCCATCTTTTGATTCCGCCCTCTGTGCACGTTTTGCACAAGTCATCCTCCCGTGAGTAGCCGATCAGACAAGAGAGCTGCGAGTGTCCCTGACAGCGATTCGCGGGCCCCATAACCCGCACTGACAGTCCATCGACAGTCATCATCTACCCGCCAGCAGATAGGGCTAATTCTGCCTTGTGCAGCCTATCCCATGGCCAAACTCCTTGCAACGGGGACTTTGTGGGTGCAAGGGCCCGTTGGGGAACAAGGCGCTTCCTTGTCCGACCGGCAGGTTTGCGGCAATAGGATTATCGGCGCCAAACCCGGCCGAGTGGGATCCGGCGCCGCATAAAATGCCAGAATAACAATACAATCCGGGCGCAAATAGGGTTCCTGCTTGATACCAGCCAGTCCGCCTTGAGTAGTGCTGGGCTCAGAGCGCCAATGGCCGTTTGGTCATTCTGCCCTGCCATCATGCATAAGTAGGCGATGTCTGCAGCCGCCGCGCTGCGGATACCGCGCTCGCTCGATGTTGCCATAAATGGCGCCGTGAGGGGATTTGCTTCAATGTTGCTTCAAGCAAGGGGCCAGATTGGCGGTGGCCGGGCGCTCCAGTGCTGCAACGCGCGCCGTAACGTGCGCTGGCAACCAAGGACGGGCAATCGACACTGCAGTCCAGCATGGACATGCTTGTATCAGATGCCTGCTGCATCCATTGATCTTCAGACAGGCGCAACCCAACGGCGACAAAGCTTGTTCAACACCAGCGCTGCGTCATCGTGTTCCGTGATTAAATTCCGCCGTCTCGCTCCCCTTGCTGTATGTATGTACATACTACTGGGCTGGTGCAACCCTGGGCCATGGCACACCATCCCAGTCACCGCTGAACCACCCATGAGCTCGTCGACATTAATACATAGTACAATGCGCGAACCATTATACACTACTGGAACTCGCCCGGTATCCCAAATAAGACACTACGTCGCAGCCCCTGGGTTAGTGGCATGACCTCGTGCCGCAAATCATGTAGTTAGCACGTATGTACATAGTACTATGATAATAAACACCACACAGGGGACCTACCAGTCCATAACAGACAACCCTCGCGTAACACGTAACACATCCTGCAGGGATGCCGCGCTAAAAGAGGACACCATGTAAAGAAAATGCCATGGAAGCTCGCTAGAACACACACCAACTAGTCGAGAGCCCTAGCCACCAGTATTGTACCTTCAACTTGGCACGGCTATG